TATCATCAACTGAAAATGTAGTGGCTGGAAGTTCACGGTCATCAATGCGAAACAGGAGTGAGTATTTTCCAGCAGGAAGCGGTACTATGGCCCAAGTCCTAAACATACACCAGCATAGTTTATAATATACGTCTAAACAGGAAATAGTAGTGTACAAACTTACCATTTATCAGCTGCGTATCTAGAAGAACAAGGACGGAAAATGCTCATATAGCAGAACTTTTTTTTTTAAAATTATGGTCTTACTTATAATTAAAATCTAACGGATAAGGCCACAGCCAATGTAACTTATTCGTTGTTGTTCTTGTCCAAGCCCATATTCGTAACATTGTGGGCCATTGCGCTGGATTTGCAGTTGTATAATAATAAAAATTCAGACAGTAGGTCTCATTTGGTGGTAGTTGGAATGTCTCCAAAGTATAAAAATATCCGCTAGCACCGGCTTCTCGTTGATACCGTTTGGTATCAGACCATAGGTAATGCCCAGTTTCGTTTGCCGTTGTATGGTCAACTTGAGGTGCAAATGAAACTTTCTTATGAGCTTCACCAGCAACAGTATTTTCCCATTGATACAGATAATAGGGTAGCGTCTGGATATCACAATCAGATTCGAAGTCGCATGAATAAATTGTTTTTTGAGATAATGGCAAGGGGCCGATACAGTTATCAATTGATAGATCATCCAGTAGGATACCATCTAAAGTTGAATTGAATTCCAGCTGCACTAGAAATTTTTCGCTTGGTAATGGAATGGAGATTAGTGTCCAGTCTAATACTTGTTGTTGAACGGCTGCTACTGTATAAACGAATTCCCCTTGATCACCTCGCACAAAATCAATATCAATAGCTGAATCACGCAAAAGTGAATTAAAATAATAAAACTGAAGACACATTGCTCTGTCTGATGGTGGCTGGATCCATGTGGATGAACGAATTATACTTGTTTTCCTGGGAATGTGCGTATCTGGTATGTAGAAAATGTAATGTCCCGTGGAATTGTTGTACGTATGATCATGATCAAGCGGGAGAGGATGTTGACCGTTTGTCACGCCCCACTTTGAATCGAGAATGAAATCTGTACAAGTGCCATATGGTTCAAAATCGCATTTTAGCGGCGTTTGTTCACCTTGAATAACTGCAGAGAAGAGGCAGAAGAATAGTGAAATTAGGGCATTCATTGTAAAGAAGATATCTGTGGTAAGGATGAAGAAAAATATAAGGGTATTTAAACAAAATAAAAAATGTGTGTATTATGAAAGAATGATGTCACCAGAACAGATAAAGAAATGTTTACAACAATGACGTACAAAATGACATATTTATGTGATGACACGGCGGATAGTTATAGTTTCATCAAAAATTGAAAAAAGATGTTTTTAAGATATTAATTTATAATTAATTACAGGGCTGTGCAACTCCAACGCCGGAGTTGAGGATTTTTTCGGTGGAGTTCGAGTAGGAGTTGACCTTAGCAGAGTTGTAGTTGACCGTGGTGGAGTTGGAGTTGGAGTTGACCTTGGCGAAGTTGGAGTGGAGGTTGGAGTTGGGTTTTTGACTTTTTATTCTCAACTCCGTTTTGCATTTTTGGAACTATTCAATGGTTGTAAAACTGATCTTCTAAACAATTGAGTGGCTGTATTCACGAGTGAATTCGGAAGTTCTTTGCGCTTTCCGACCGGAAAAAGCTCAAAAACGTCCAAAATCCTGCTAAAAACCGAAAAAATCTTCCTTACAAAAGTGAAGCAACCGGAGTTGAACCGGAGTTGAGATTTTTGTTGACGGAGCTGGAGTTAGAGTTGAAAAATTTTGAGCGGAGTTGGATCGGAAATTTGAAAACGGAGTTGGAGTTGGAGTTGAAAGTCAGCGGAGTTACCCAGTTCTGATTAATTAGTAATGCTAATTAGCATTACTCTGTCAGCTTACACTTTTATTTCTAAATTAACGATTTATTGAAAACCGTGAAGTAATAGCTAGTTGGATAGAGATTTTCAAGCGCTACAAAACCTTGTATTCTTTTTTTCACAAATTTATCCATAAGAAGTTATTGTAACCAGGTTTTTCGGAGTATTGGGTTTTTACGAGGGTTATTATTATCGACGTCAAAGTATAAGACAGGCTGTTATTTTTTGAATAACGCAAAGACGGTAAACGCTAGAGATTTGTGGTTTTCGGCAGTCGAAAGAGGGCAGTTTAGCATACACGTTCATCGACAGACACATTTGTTGAACAAATTTGTGAAACCGGTTTTTCAGAGGATCTCCGGAAAACCAGTTTCTAAGTCAACAATTTTACACGGGAATC